GTGTCACTGGCCCTCATATGTGGGATCTGAACCGGGGCCCTCTGGTGTCCCAAGCCAGTTCTTAACCATCGCGCCACTCGGCCGGCCCTGGATTTCTTCCTTTTTTAAAAAAAGCTCATTAATGTAAATATATTGAACGGCTTCAATGAAACATCATTTGAGTTTAAACGAATAGGTGATCTAAATAACTGTTTACTTAGCAAAATTTGTTTGTGTGTTAACAGAAGGAGATATGCAATATGCAGCAAAAGTGTACCGTGATGATCGACTGCGAAGGAAGGCCGATGCCTTGAGCATGGACAACTGTAAAGAACTGGAGCGGCTGACCAGTCTTTATAGAGGAGGATGAACTGGAATTTTATTTATATCTTTTAGCGTACTCTTCATTTTTTCTGTGAGTTTAGTTTCATCATGAGAGCTAAAGAAAAAGATTTGACATAAAAACTAAACTGAATAGTTGGTCCCTGAAATCTTGGACTGTTTATGATCTATGGACTCCTTTAAATAGTAAGAAACTGAAAACGAAAATTAATATTTTAGTTATGCTTCTGCGATTATTTTCACTTTAAAAGTTTATGTGATTACTAACTGAAAAAGTCTCGAGAAAGGGTTATCACACCTGTAGAGGTTTCCAGTTTTAGTAATTCTCCATTGTTCCCCTTGTCATGTAAATATTTATGAAATGATCACTTTGTGTACATACAAGATATTGCCTTTTTATTTAAATTCTTTCAGTGTTTAGCTCCATGAGACACTTCAGTTTAAATTGATGGAATAAATGTTCTATGACAAAATTACATTTTCCTTGTCAGATGTCGAATGTGTAGAGTTTAAAACAGTGAAACTTTTTCAACAAGAAAAGAAAAAACAAAAGCTCTTTAACTTTGTGTAAAATCTTGTAGCATTATCTGCTTAGAGGAAATTGATATTTTTAATATTGCCATTATATTCCAAACTATATATCGAGATAAATGAACTGGTGTAGAGTATCAGTTTGCTATTTATTTAGTTTCATGAATGGCTAAGCCATGTATAGAAATGAATGCTATACTGATAAATTTTAAAGAAAATATGGGGAAATGGCTGTTAGATATTAAAAGGAGTCTCCAGCAGTTATGTCATTATTCCAATAATTAAAACGCCCCCAAATGTTCATATGTATCTGTCTTTGAAGGCTGCTAAAATTTATGAAGAAGAGAACCTACCTGTTTTTCTTTCCCCCATGGAAATTTGCAGTTTCTTCTTAGTAATCATTTAATCAGGATCCAAAAGTAAATGGGTTCTTCTACAAATACTTAATAAGAAAAATTACTACTTTGCTTTGTGCCTTTTAACCTGATTGCCAACTCTTAAACATATAAGTAGATTACAGCATACTTATTTGACCAGAGCATGATCTGTTTGGCCACATGCAGCAGTGGGCAGAAATATAGCAGCAGGTAGAATAGTGATTTATAGCAAGTTATTCTTACAAAATTCTGAGCTAAAATCTATTCACCACCAAGTAATTCAATTAATCCTGTAGGAATAAGCTCTTTATAGTTAAATCCATAATATAAATTTGAAAAATCAGCTGGAAATTGAAGTTTCTGGTACCTGTACATTGGGTATGAAGCTTTTATTTCTAGCCTTCTGTGTTCAACAGTTGTAATATTTTAATTATTTTGCTTCATACTCAGTTAATGGAACATGAGCACATCTTTGGTAGTTTTGTGTGTGTGTGCAAGAATGCTAGTTAGAGTGGTAATATTCTTTTTTTTTTAAGATTTTTTTTTGAATATAGTTAAGTTAAACATCTGTTTAAACTTAAAGTGAGCATTCTTTTAAAAATGTTCTCTTGTATCCCTTTTCCAGATGAGTCAGTAGAAATACCTGATTGAATTAGTAGGTTAAACTAAACAACATAGTGTCCTAGGAAAACTGGACATCTTAACCAACTTTCTTTTAGAAATACTGCCTTTAAAAAAAAATAGCAGGGGCCAGTGGAGTGGCTCGGTTGGTTAAGAGTTAGCTTAAGAGTGTGAGCTCTGAGCAACAGGGCTGCCAGTTGAATTCCCACATGGGCCAGTGATGCTGCACCTGAGCTGAGCTGCCACTGAGCTGCCAACAGGTGGCAGGATGGCTCAGCTGGTGAGAGCACGTGCTCCTCACAACAAGACTGCCTGTTCAGTGGTGGGCTATGCCCACCAGCAACTAAGACTGAACTCAGCACCTTGAGCTGAGCTGCCACCCGGATGGCGCAGTCGATAGAGGGTGCGCTCTTAACAACAAGGTTGCTGGTTCGACTTTCGCATGGGATGGTGGCTATGCCCACCCGCAACTAGATTGAACACAGCACCTTGAGCTTAGCAGCCACGAGATGCCAACTGGCAGCCAGATGGCGACTGGCGCCCTCCACAACTATTGGGTTGTCGGAAAAGTCATGACGTATTTTTTCTGTTTTTCTTTGCAAAAATGCGTCATGACTTTCCTGACAACCCAATAAGATTGAAGAACAACAACTTGGCTGGTCCCCCTCCCCAGTTCTCCAACACTGTTCCCCTCCCCCTATTCTCCAGTTTAAAAAAATAAATAGCAGTGCTTAAAAGAAAATACAATTTTAAATATTTTTTTGAGCCTGTGGGACGAATTTTTTAAAAAGGTCATAGCCTTCAAATTAACTTTGAATTTTCATATGCATCAGAAAACGTATAAGAATTTAAGTGAAAAATTTCATCCATTCATTTTTCCATTTTAATGGGAAATTTACATGGTTGTGGTTGATGCTTATATGACTTGAATTCTTGCTGACTGATTCTTTTTCCCTTAATCCTTCCTGGCTTTAAGGGGATAGATGAAGTTATCAAATTAAGCAAAAATAGGTTATAAAGTCATACATGGCTTTTGGACAGTATTGTATTTCAGTTGCATTGCTGCATTCCATTCCATTTCATAAAATGTTCAGGGAAATATGTTTGATAAAATTTTCAAACACTTGTGGGAAATGACTGATTGAGTGCCTGACAATGTAAGCTATATATAGAGTATTTACATAAAGATTAAGTTCTTAATGTCACCTATATCATGCTGTAAAGGCCCAAACAAATGTGTTAGAATTTTGGGTTAATTCTACAAAGTAAGAAGATTTTAGCTATCTTAAGATGTAAGATTTTCATGTTTGCTACTCTTAAAAATCCCAACATTTTGTCACCTTATTTAGCTACATAAGCTTTGCAATTTCATTTGAAAACTGGTACTGTTCATTTTAATCATTGCCCTCACTCGATTAAGTATTGCTTTGCTTGTTTCTCTTACAGGTATTTTAGAAGTTTGGGAACAATTATATTTATGAATGCTTTACATTTTTATCCCTTTTTACACATACATGCAAACATTATTGTCCTTGTGAGGATTTGGGGGAAAATAAATAATACCATTTCTTCTTTTTTCGATTCCTTAGTTCCCAAATACTAGATAGGTGCTAGTAAGTTTCAGAATTTATTTTGATCAAATCTGATCACTTAATTCTCAACAATGAGAAATTTCAAATTATAATCCATCTAATAAGTGAAAACAATATATTTTGGAAACATTTCATTTGATTGCTTACATAAGTATTTGTTTCATGATCATTAATGCTTATTTAGGTTTTACTAAGATTTGGTAGAGAAAAGGAAGCCCTTAAGGCATGTATATGCCGGTGCATTAGCCTCTCTGCTTTTTTGTCAGCTCAGGTGTTCACAGGAACAGTAATGTGAAATTCCAGCCCTTTACTGTAATTGCACTTTTATACTTAGGTTTTCTTCCTGTTAAATCTTCAGTTACATAGTATGTAAAATAGTTACAAAGAGAAATGATTGACATCTCGATTTCCCTTTACTGATCTGTAATATTTTTAAATGCAGCTGTTATTTAACAAATGTGGCAATGTTATTTAATAGTGTATTCCTACATATTCATAAAAAAATAAATGAATCTCCCACCTGTATTAAGGCAGTGAAATATTTCTTGATATAGAAATGAGCCATCTTTCCATTTAAATAAATATTTTATCAAAGGACCAAATGGTTCAGAAGATGAATTTGTGCATGCATTTAGCTTCCACATATGAAGCTTAGGGTTAGTATTACCCATATTACTGTCTTCATACTGAGTGGAGTAAACTAAAAGGGCATTCATAATCATTTTTCTTATCTGAACAGAAAAGCTTCCGAAAATGAACAATAAATCAGAATTTTAATCTTTACAAAATAGCTGAAAAAAAGTGTCTAATGGCCATATTAGACAACTGCCTAGTTAAAATCCACAAAATTCTCTATAGACCAGTGCAAAAGAAAACAGTCATAATAATTTCCAAATTTTTAATTCTAATTATTAATTATACAGGAAAAAGTCAGTAGATTGAAGAGCTTCAAGGAATTTTTGCACACCCCTTTAATAATCTGGCAGGCAACACAGTCCTAGAATTTAGACTTCTTTTTTGTAGATACTTTCATAAAAGTGAAAACATTTTCCCTCAAAATACAATTAAAAACATACTCCTTATATTAAGGATTATGTAACCACATTTTTTTTGTAAATTCCGTGTGTCACTTTTTCCTGTTGGTACGCGATTCCTTATTTAATTTTAATATCTGCTGGTTTTGGGGCCAATAGATTTGTGAATATTCTGTGGATGTGTCCATGTATAGCTGTGTATATATATTTTTTCCAGCTATTACCTCAAATGTGTGATTGTTTATTATATACTACACTATGTTTGCACAGAGCAGGGCTTCCATTAGCAGTGGATATTCTTATCTCTAACTTTGAAAATCAGTCCATAGCATTTCATTGGCGTGAATTTTTCCTGTTGATATTTTTCATATTTTAAAATAGAGATTCCTATTAAAAGACCCATACTTCAAATATAATTCTACCTTCTATATCTAGCAATCTGGAAATATGTAGGGGTAAGAAATGTTTATTGAAATGTTTTAGTTTAGTATGTTACTATTGAAAATTGGGATTACTGGTTGCCAGGCTGTCTAGTAACTGTAACAGATGACACTCAGCATAAATGTGAACAAGTCTCATTCACCTCAGCACAGGAATTGGGACATTCCAATCTGATATTCTACTTTGCCATTTAAGAGCATTACTAAAATAATATGGATTTTTCAGTGACATTGGAGTATTTTAAAAATCAATTTCAAAATGAATTGTTTTTGAGTTGGATGACTATGCCAATGAGAAGAAACTCACACATAAATAATATTTTATAATTTATTTGTATTAAGAAATGCTTTTTACCTTTTTTTGGATTGCTACATAAGACTTTCTTTCCATTTAAAGTTTAAATCATGTGTTTTTAAAAGCTGCAGGTAATTTTCAAGGTGTGATGGAAATTTAATGGAAGCCTTGTATAAGTTAAATAAAGTGAAACTGGTAAAGGAAATCTTAACTTTATTTGTCTCTAGTGCATTCAAGATTATATAATTAGATTTAAAAACTAAATGTCTGATTTGTAAAATATTTAATGTTATATCAGACTTATATAAAATAAAATTTTCTGTGTGAGAACTCTGTTAAAGAACATGAATTTGATTTTTAACAAATGTTCTGAATGATTTATGATGAATTTTTGTCTTTCAGTCTCTACAGTTTATCTCAATATAGGAATAAAAAGGTCTGTTCTCACTGTAAAGGATTTGTTTTTATCATGTTTTCTATTAGTATGCCCTTTCATTCATTCAACCGTTCAATAAATGTGTGAATACCTGCGATATCCCAGACGGTGAGCTGAGTGCCGTGAATTAATCACTGAACAAGACAAAAATCCATAGGAAGTTTACATCTAGCAAGGAAGATGAATGTCAAGTAAATAACTAATTATAATTAATGATGAATGCTTTAAAGAAAATTGCAAGGTATAGTGAGAGCATATATGTAGAAGATTTGACCTACTCTGGGAGGACCAGAGAAGGTTTCTCTGAGAAAGGGAGCTAAAGCTGAAATCCAAAAGATGAGCATAGCAGTAAGATGAATGCTAATGAAATGTTTCAGGCAGTGTCCTAAGTTGATAAAGTCATAGAAACTTTAAGGAAATGAAAACCTACTTGTATGATTATGACATAAGGAAGCCAGGGTAAGTTAGAGAGTTAAAATAAGATAGGGGCCAGATCCCATAAAACCATATATAAACCATGATGATGAGAATCAGACTTTTTCCTAAGTGAGTAGAAAACTTGTGTGATTTTTAAGGAGGGAGTTATGTGATGAGATTTAAGTTTTTAAAGTATCATTTTAGTTGCTGCATGGAGAAGACGGGGGGGGAGGGGGGGGCAAAGGTGAATGTAGGAAGGATAGTGTGTCCTTGTCAAAGGAGAGCTGATTGTGTCTTGGACCAGAGTAGGAACATGGGTAAGTGAATGATTCTGAGAGATACCCAGGAGGCAGAGTCAAGAGGATTATTTGATTGATTGCACCTGGGATAAATGCAAGCAGCAATTAAAAACTTAAATTTGGCTGGAAAGGGAGTAGGGAAAAAGGGTGGTAGCAGAAAGAGGATGTAATTTCTAAAGAAGGCTTTTATTTTTTCCATTATTTATGGCATGAGACCTTACTATTTATCACAGGAGAGACCTTACTAATTTTTTAAATTCTGATGGAAAGGTGCAAGTAGGAAGTGAAAGAGTAAACAGAGAAAAAGGGATAATAGCTTAAGAACCTCATATGTCCAGAGAATATAGGATCCATTGGAAAGATAGAAGAATTAGTTTAGCTGATAGACACCACCAACATTTTTTCAGAAAAGAATGCACACAGGATGGGTACAGATGCAGGTAGATTTATAGTGTTAGTGGGGCGATATTATGGCTTGCATTTTCTTGATGAAATAGGCAGTTTATGTAAAGTGGGGGAGGGGGAAGAATGATAAGCAGAAGCTTAGAAAGAACTAAGACAATTGGAAGGAATCATTTTCACTGAGTCAGCTGATTAATTGAAAAGTAGGATTTCTATGGGTCCCAGGTTGGTGACAGAATTTAGTCTGCTTAAGTTGTATTTACTCCAGCTTAACCCAGCAGCCTATGTATAGGCATAGACAATACTACTCATTTAACTCATTCAAATTTGGAGCTCTGTTAGGCACTAAAGATGGTAGGGGAATTTATGATGATGACAAGTGAGTGATTCCACTGGTTGACTATTAGATGTAAGCTAGAGATTGAGGGAATTAGTGATTTCTGAGGTGACTGCATAAATCCAGGGTGTGATGACAATGAATGGTAGTATAGAAGAGAAAATTATTGCATATGAACTTATATTTGTATTCTCAGTGGACCAAATCCCAAAGCACAGCCAGAATAAAAATTGGACATACCACTTGGACAGTGTAAGTGATAAAATTTTCATTTTTGTATGTTGGAGAATCAACAACTTTTCTCTCCATGAGTTTGAATACCAACTAGAATTTTCACACAGTCAGTAGAGATAATCTAAATCCAGATGATTGATTTGATAGGAAAGCAGAATTAAAAAAAAATTGGAGCTCTCTGCTGTATGCAACAGCTAAGAGAAATTTAAGCTAAAGAGAAGCAGAAACAAAGGCTTTAATGTAACCAATAAACTTTAACGTATATTTATTAACTGTATGCTAATATACTGTGTACAAAGTCTGACAATTAAGTTTGTGAACTTGTTGCAATGATGTTGCTAACCATTTTTTATATTGGAGGGATTATTCATTATGAATTTGTACCAACTGGACAGTTAACCAAGTTTACTATTTGGAAGTGCTGAAAAGGCTGCATGAAAAAAGTTAGACATCCTGAACTTTTCACCAATTCAGGGCTCTTGCATCACGACAATGCTGCTGCGCACACATAACTGTCTGTGAGGGAGTTTTAGCCAGTAAACAACTCTATTGGAACACCCTCCCTACTTAGCTGATCTGGCTCCCAATGACTTCTTTCTTTACCCGAAGATAAAGGAAATATTGAAAGGAGGATATTTTGATGACATTCAGGACATCAAGGGTAATACGATGACAGCTCTGATAGCCATTCCAGAAAGAGTTCCAAAATTGCTTTGAAGGATGGACTAGGTGCTGGTGTCAGTGCCTAGCTTCCCAAGGGGAGTGCTTCAAAGGTGACCTTAGTGATATTCAGCAATGAGGTATGTAGCACTTTTTCTAGATGAGTTCGTGAACTTGTCAGACCTCATACACAGTAAAATAGAAAATTTGAATGAGATAAAAATTGTGTGTGTATACGTGCTCAGTTTCCACTAGTTTTCTTCCTGAGCTTCAAGGATCATCTGGTACCACCCACTTTGGAGATCTGGTACATAATCCTAATAATCTTTTAGGCCAGTAAATATTTCCCCTAGTCCTAAACTAACAGCAGTGGTATTAATGAGTAAATGCAAACAGATCAGATTACATAAGAAACTCTCACCAAGATGCTGTAACGAAAAACCACATTCTTGGAAATTAAAAATCTTATTTTTTTCAATATGAGGACATAGTGGTGTTTGCACATTTTGGAAAGCTGTGCTTGTGCTCCCTTTTTGCCACTTGAAGAAAAAAAAGTCAGTATTTTCTAGGTCAGCTGCCGTTTATTAAGGTCATTAAGATGGTGAATTTTGTAGAAATGAAAAGTTGCACTTCCAGAAATTAAAAGTTCTTGCTAGAGTTCATATCTTTAGTTGTGTCTAAATTTTGGTGGGGGGAATGGTGATGGGAGAATAAGAAGTTTCAGTCAGGGCCAGGCTTAATGGTTTCTTTTAATCACTTTTATTCCACAGATGTTGCATGAGTACCCGTTGAGTGCAAGAAACTTATACAAGAAACGAAAAAATGTAAAACCCAACCCAGCCTTCTAGACTTTATGGTCTCATTGGGAAACAAACCAAAACTATGCACAAATAAATTATCAGTTATTCTTGGTAGTGTATAGTAGCATTCAAGAGGATTCGATGGGTGAAAAGGAGTTACAGGGAAACAAGATTTAAATAAGTAAGGTAGAGAGTGAAGGGGTTCAGAACATCCCATCCCAAAATATGCCACTTCGGCATATTGACTGTTTTGACCTGAAGGCACTAAGAAATAGATGCAGGAAGGGCTGACTTCCCCCTTTCACGTAAAACTGATCATTAAATTTCCTATATGAAAGGTGCCTTCCCTCTGCCAAGAAGAGAACATTCCTATCACCAGAGATTGGGGATTGATACCGAAATGGACCACTACAAACCTAATAAAATAACCCGTATCTCCACAATTTGTTTCCTCCATATATTTAATAGCCACTAGGCTAAGCCCCTTTGTCTTGTCCATCCCCACAATTTATCATCTGTGTGAAAAGGTATATAAGCTTTGGGTCTAATAACTTCTTCGTTTCTTTATTTTCCTTCTGAAGACTCTCGTGTACACATAAAAATACTATATAAATTTGTGTGATTTTCCTCCTGTTATGTCAGTTTTATTCTTAGGCCCAGCCATAGAACCTAAGAAGGTAGAAGAAAGTTTGTCTCCCCTACAGAAAAAGTAATCACTTCAGACGAAAGTAACCTCCAGAACCAGTGTGGGAAAATAAGTTATGTTGATGGAAGGGTGAGGTAATTAATTTGGCATATAAGATTCACATTAGAATGTGTTCAGAAGTAAAACAGAATATGTTAGTTCCAAATTAAAGACTATAAACTTTATCATTATCTGCGATGGCATATCACTAAAGATTTGTTGAGCGACAGTAATGTGTATTGTTCTAAGAAGGTTTTTTCTGGCCACTATATGGATAGTGATCTAGTCTTGCTGAATAGAATAATGGTTTGAACAAAGAATTGATAAAATAGAGATGCAAGCGTCATGGTTAGGAAAGAAATGAACACGAAGGAAAGCAAATGTGATACCTGACTAGTATTAGTATGAAACTAAAACAGACATACATTGGGAAGCAGATTTATTGGAGAACCTTTAGAGCTTCTGAATTAGAGTTGACAGTAAGGTATGCATGTAGAAATATTTATCCAGCATCCAACAAGCAGCTGAAAATGTGAACCTAGAAAAGAAAGGTGCAGTTAGGATTCTCATTCTCAGGACACTGTGGAATTAGAAAAACAGCACAGAAACCAGACAAGCTTTAAATAGCATCATTTAAGAGTTAGGAGAAGCTCTGAGCAACAGCGGTTCAATTCCCGGCCGAGCTGAGAAGCTGGCAGGATGGCTCAGCTTTAAAAAGTTAGGAGAGGGCCGGCCGAGTGGCACGATGGTTAAGAACCCGCTTGGGATGCCAGAGGGCCCCGGTTCGGA